TGTGTGTGTGTGTGTGTGTGTGTGTGTGTGTGTGTGTTCAGGCAGTGGTAGAGTGCATGTGTGTGTCTGCAGACAGGGGCAGAGTGTGTTTGTAGGCAGGGGCAGTGTGTGTATGTGTGCAGGCGGAGGCAAAGTGTGTGCATGTGTGTCTGCAGACAGGGGCAGAGTGTGTGTGTGTGTGCGGCCATGCGGGCAGTGTGTGTGTGTGTGCGGCCATGCGGGCAGTGTGTGTGTGTGTGCGGCCATGCGGGCAGTGTGTGTGTGTGTGCGGCCATGCGGGCAGTGTGTGTGTGTGTGCGGCCATGCGGGCAGTGTGTGTGTGTGTGTGTGTGTGTAGGCAGGGGCAGTGGGTCCATGTGTGTGTAGGCAAGGGCAGTGAGTCTGTGTTTGTGTGTTTGCAGGCAGGGACAGAGTGTATGTGTGTGTGTATGCAGGGAGAGGGGGTGTGTGTAGGCAGGGTCAGAGTGTGTGTTTTTGCAGGCAAGGAAAGAGTGTGTGTGTACGTGTGTGTGTACGCCCGCATGCGTGTGCATGTGCAGGCAGGGCCAGAGTATGTTCATGTGTGTGTATGCAGGGGCAAGGTGTGTGTGTGTGTGTGTGTGTGTGTGTGTTCGTAGGGTGAGTCCCACCTGTGCACCCCACCATATACCCACATGAACCCACATGCTCCCTCACTCCACATACCCACAGCCCCCCACAAACCTATACCCACCCCCCAGTATAAACAAGCGTAATAGTTCATTTTAAGCTATTGTGCAATCACCTCTATGTACACTACACAAACGCATGTAAAGCAGAACAAAAATTTTTTTGAAATCAAATTAATGTATGTTTTAAATGTTTGCTTTTTAGAACATAATTTGGTATTTTTCTGGTTCCAAGATGGAAAAACTGAAAGGAGTGCTTCTGGAGGCAAGGGGAGGGACTTCTGGTGGCAAAGGTCAGGGGTTAGGGGCAGGACTTCTGGTCCCAAGATGATGACCAGGGGGCAGGACACCTGTGAGGGGGTGGGAATACCCTTGTGGCCCTGGACAGCTTGCCAAAACTCAGTAAGCAGCCCTATGCCTGAAATAATTGCCTGCCCCGATCTACACCCAGCAAGCTTTTTGAGATTTGGAACTCCTGGGCTCTTAGGAACAGGCCTTAGAGGGTTTGTAAATAAGTCATGCATTTAGGGTCGGATTCTGCCACCCTTACATAGGGCAAGGACTCTGGAATGATATCACTGAAAACAATCCTACTGTGAGCACAGCGAGGGGCTACCCCATGAGTGGGGATGTAACAGACCCAGGCCTTCAGTCTAAGCTGGCCTTTAATTCATCAGAGCAGAAAACAGTTGGTCCAGGAGTGCTGCTTTTTTAAAATCAGAACTCTACACTCCTGTTCAATACTTTCCTTGGTTTTGCATCGTCATATTCAGAAAAGCATTCCAGGACATTCTGAGATGGAAGATCATGTGCAAACAGCATGAATGATCAATTTTTTTCTTTTAGAGGAGCACCTTATTCAGATAATTACAATTTCTCACTTACCTCATTCAATGAAATGAGAAAATTAATTCAACAAGAGATGGAAGGAGAGTTTAAGGGCTTTACAAGTAAACAGTGACAGATCCACCCCCAATATTATATAATCAAGTTGTGCTGGAACTACACAGATTTCACAATCTACAAGCTGTCAAGTAAAAACTACTTACATCGGGATCTAGCTCCTCCAACTCATCCTCTAGAGCCCTGAGTTCTTCTTCTGTCAAGGCACCAAGAATCTTGTCCTCATCCAGATCTCGGTACTTTTCTAATTCCTTTCTGTATGACATTGTAGAGAAGTCCTTGAAATATCACTTTCCACAATGAAAGGTGACCTATAATGAAAAAGAAGCATCCCATCATAAAATGAGAGTTTAGATTATTGTAATTTCTGCTATTAACAAACTGAAAACACTTCACAAATGTGTAACAGGGTATAAGAAATGCAAAATTCTAAAACTTTTGGTTCAGAGGTGATGGCTTTTATTAGACCAACTAAGAAATCACAAAAGAAATATCTTTTCTTGCAAGCTTTCAGGAGCTTTCAGGAGCACACACCCTTCGTCAGGCTGAGGGAAAATTAAAGATGGTAAAAGTCTCCTTAGGTAGAAAATTAAGTTCATTTTCCACAGAGGAAGCTGAAGATGGATGTATGTTCCTCTGGGTCCAAGATAGTTCCTTTGTGTGAGTTGCTCTTTGATGTGCAGATAAGGCAGGATTCTTTCCCCGGTGATGTCAGATGACAGAAAAGCAAGGAGGCATAAACAAAATAAAAAAAAGAAATAAATTAAAAAATAAAGACAGGGAGTTGTAGAAATAAAAGGCATCATCTCTGAACCAAGAGTTTTAGAGTTTTGCATTTCTTTTTGTCTCAGGCCAACACGGCTACCACGTACATCCCTGTAACAGGGTATAAAGCAGCCAGAGCTCAGACGCTGAGGTCTAGTGTTCATCCTGCCACAGATTCACATTGGGACAGCATTAGGATCATCATTAGGGACTGATATCAGCAGTAACTAAGCAGCAAACTATACAGTAATCAAATTTTGATTTATTCAACATTTTCCTTGAAGGACAATAAATCATGAATTTCACCAAAACAATGAGTCAGCATGGATTCAACTCTGGCTGTCTTACAAACAATGAGTAATACTTTCCTTTGCAAGTTACCCTATTGAAAGTAATGCTGTATACAAGTTTGGCCTGAAAAAGGCAGAACAAAAATCAGGTGTTTGCTGCATTGTTGGACTTACTGTGAACCCTGACAATCACCATGGCCATGAATCTCAGACATGTTTCTTCTTTTCCTTTTAAGTTAATATTCTGAATGGGAGACAGAGATAGCTATCCAGAAGAAGCCATTATTTACTCCTTATCCATATTGGTTTCACATACTAAGGCTGTGTACATACATTAAAACAATCTGAGAGAATTCTCCCAGGTTTGTTCTCCTGGTAGAAAAAAAACATACCTAGAGCCACGCGTATAGACATTCAAATGCTGAGGTCCTAAAAAGTGAAGAGATTGCAGTTCTAACATTGTGCAGTTGGGTGGGGAGAGGGCTGTGCACATCTCAGCATGCTTTGCAGGTTCCCTTAGTCTGCCTGTCAACAGATGGCAACGGTACATAGGGTAGCCCCGACTTGCTGACCCAAACTGCTCAAGGTCAGCTGCATTTCCCCGTAGCACAATGTATAGATTATGAAGGGGGTGGAAGGGAGGGTGTTCTGTTCCCTGCTCAGAGTCCTGCAGGTGACACACTCAGCATGTACAGACATTTGCTCTCCCAGGAGTGATTTAACCCTGGTTGTTCCCAGGTTATTTTTCTCCTGCAGGTGCTATTTTTACTCTGAGAGAAAAAGCATGAACATCTGCTCTCTAGGAGAGCAGCAACTCCCCCAGGAGAAACTGGACGTCTGTACAAGGCCTAAATATCTCCTAATTGGTTCATCGTGTCAGTTACGCAAGTCATTGAAATGATATGTGCCCTCATCATGCTAGTATCTGCATCATTACAAGTCAACTATTTAATGTAATTCTAGATGGCAATATAGGTCCCCAAGACAGCATAGTAGAAACTAACTGACCGCATGACTCAAATCAATTATGAGTCTGGATTTTTACCATGCATTCTACAATATAAAACTTCATTTCCAAGTGCAGCAATTGATATATTTACAAGGAAATAATAACAGGTAATACTGAAGTCAGGTTCTTTTAAAACCTTTTTTCAAAGGCAGCCATGACCTAGAACACCACATTTTTAATTTGGAAAGGTCACTTTTATTACATAAAGTACTGTATGTACCAAAGTCCTTTCGCACATTTCTTAGGGAAAATAAAAGTCTTCAAACATACTGACCATGACTTTTCCTCTGCTTTCAGATTCCCAAGAAATCTTTTCTTGCCATTGTCTAATGAAATATTTGTATAAAACGAACAGACAAACATGCATTTTTGAATACTTTCTCCTTTTCAACAAACTGGAAATCTTCCATTTCTCTCTAAAAGCCCATTTTAGAATTTCTTCACATTTTCCCTTAAGCTTCACAGTCCTGCCCTTGCATCAGACTTCTCCAATTAGGTCTCACCTAGAAAGGACAAATCATGCACTTTCAGGATGTTTTACACTGCCAATATATCTTGTGTGAACTAATAAGTCACCTTATATTGATACTTTCTGTATCACAGCTGCCAACTCCAATTAGGAAAATAATCTTTAGTTCAGTGACAAATGGACACATTAAAACCTATAGCATTTGACAGCATGCCCTTAAATTAAAAAGTTGTCAGTTGGTCATACACTTTGCTTCCCATTTTTGTGATCACAATTCAACTATAACTTCTAGTCCCCTTGCTCTAAATTCATGTGCCCCTGGAGTATCACATGCCTCACAAAGTCTCAGTTTTAGCATATGCACAATTTACCAGACACGACAGTTGCAGTTCAGGATTCATGCAGGAAGGGCAAACTCCTAGCAGGAGTGATTTCTCCTAGAACTACACTAAAGCAGGAATATCAAGGTCAGAGATAATGCTACTGGAAGGTTAGACTAATGAAGCTATAACTATAACTGCATTTCCTGGGCCTGACATTTGGGTATATGGAGCAGGTTCAGATTCCAGTACTCCTAAATCTCCATTGTTCCATAAGTAGTATTTACAATGTCAAATAACTGGTACATTGCCACAGCTAAAACATTTCTCCATTCATAATCACATCACTGCTGCCTTACAGCCCCCAGCCCAAACAGGAGGGGACAATATGAGAACATCCTTCCTGGAGGCTTCCTGGTACCTTTATCCTATTCCAACCCTGTCATTTTAACTTTTTGGGTTTACTGCAGTGCTGGTCCTTTTCAGCCCTAGATGAAGGGACAAGCTTAGGAGTGATTAAATGCAACTTCTTTGCATTATAATATTCATATCCACTGTGGCTGAAGGGGCAGTCACAGGCCAAGGCTTTGGAGGCATTGAGTTACGAGGAGAGAAGAACTTTACGCATTTCCCAGGATCAGGCTGTATTTTGTATTTCATTCTTACTTTTTTCTTCAACAACTGTGAAAGTAGCTAGAACTGCAGAGTGACGGGTACAACAGCCCAGATGCAGTAAACTGAATAAACTAATCTTACAAATTTATATTCTCCTAGAACAGTTTCAGATTGCTTCATCTTTGAGCCTGCACTGCTTTAGCATGGCAATCTTCATGCCTTTGCTGGCTGGAAATTTAGTATGAAAGTATTCCCTACACTGCAGAGTAGACAGGTCATGAGACAGCAAGATACTCTTCAGCAGCTCTGACTGCTGGGGACAGGTGTGGAGCCTGCTGAGGCATGCATAACTCAAGTCTCATGCCAGCAGGAACTAGCATTGCTACCTCTAAGAGACAGAGCTACGTGTAAGGATGCATCTTCCCTAATCCCCTTATAACAAAAGAAGTGCTGGTGTGCCTTCTACACAGTATAGTCCATGGGCAGTCTGCACATCAAGACAGCAAATCAACCACCCCAACCAGAATTTGGCAACATCATGGGAGAGGATGCATGAGCTTCCCACTGAAGAATGCAAGATGCTGAACCATGACATACCAGCATTCCTTGCTAGCAGCAGTGGGCTCTTTGTGGGTGTCCAACCTGAGATGCTCAAGACAGATCTGGTTTCCAGAAGAGCTCCTTTCAGCATCTCAGTTGGTGCATGCAAGCAGGTCACTTATGCAACTTCCTTAAGGGCAGTCAACTCTGAGTTCAAAGGTTCAAAACCTATGGCACTATATTTTTCACCCTTATGCTGCCACCAAATGCCTCATGGTTGCACTGCCAGTGGAGCAAATACAGCTGATTCTAGAATGCTCCCAGCATGGCTCAGCAAGGTATGTGCCGTCTGATGGCTCTCAGCTTCACAATAGACTCTACACCTCATGTTAAGCCACTATTCAGCATTCTCTTCTGCCTGTGCTGGGCTGTGCCCATGGTCTCTGACAACTTAGCAAGCAGCCTTCACCTTTCTAATCCCTAACTACTACTTCTTTTTTTTAATCTCCAAAATAATATAAATATGGCAGCTGTTGGTAACATGGGTGCAATACTCTAAGTGAATTTTACATGCACAAATATTAGGAAAGTCAGAAGAGGAGACTTTGAGGAGACTGCTGGATGTTTTGAAGGGCTCTTGGTTGGACTTTTTGAAGGGTTCTTGGCTGGAGTCTTCTCAGGAGTCTTGGCTGCAGGTTTTTCTGGAGTCTTGTCTGCTTTCTTAAAGAAAATGTCCAATGAAGTTTGAACAGATGTTCTCCAGGGAGATGGGTGACGCAGCGACTTGTTCACTGGCATGGCATGGCATCAGATCAAGTGTTGTAAAGTCGAAATTGATGTCAGAAAGTTGAAACAGGGTGTCAATTTATAAATGTTGTAAGTGCAAAATGTTGTCACTCAAAATGTTGTAAGTCAAGGACTGCCTGTAGTCAACATAGTGCCACACATGCTCTGTGAGTTCAAGGACCAGACAGTTCCAGAGAAGATGAACTTCCCACCTGTGATGAGGTAATGACCTAGTTTTGAGGTATGAGCATGCCCAGTATGCTCTGTGTTGTAGAACTTCATTGGTGCCAAATGCCAAGTTAGTAACTGTCACCTTCTCCGAGGTGAGCAGTGATGCCATTGGTATTTGGATGATAGATGGATGACTGACAGCACCTCTGTAAGGATGACTGGTCCAAAGTGTGATTGACAGAGGTGGTGTGATTGATGGGAACACTGTGGCTGGAGGCTTGGGAGGCCAAAGGCTGGCATAGTTCAGTGCGTGATTGCAACTAGTACGTTTGGTGGGAGAGTGGTA